CAAGGCTCCTCCCTGGTCATCTCCTCCACCTGCACCTCCCTGGATTTTGTTTGTCGTCCTCCTCCCAGTTGTCTGTCCTCCTCCCGAACCTCCTCCATCTCTCTGCCAGCGTGCCTTCCACAATGTCATTCACTTTGAACTTTGTTTTCCTCTTGCACCATTCCCCTTCATTGAATTAATTGTCATTTTGTTCAGGTGTGTGGAGTTAATTGTCCTTGTTTGGTCTGTGTGTTTAAGTTCCTGTGTTCAGTTCTAGTTTGTCTGGTCTCATCAGCGTCTGCATTTATGCTACCCTTTGTTAACCCTTGTTGGATTACCAGTGTGTTGGATTAAAGACTTGCTAAATCTTATTCTTCGTCTTTGTGTGTTCGTGAACTGCACAGTAACTGTGTGATGTTTTCAGAAGTCACAATCATATTTTGAGTGAATTTGTTTGGTATGGTATGTGCTGTGTGAGTGGAACTGCAGTCGACAGCTAGTTATTTATCAAGATTGTTGATATTCAGAAGTTATTTTATGAATCCTCTCATGTTAGGGTTGAAAATAGCAATGTTGTGTGCTTGTAAAGTGATGTTGGTGAGAAGGGAAAAAAATTATTTTGACCATCTGAGAGGATGAAATGATAGAAATTATATAACATGTATTTATAATTTAAATAAAATATAATCAGTGTCACACAGGGACTTCTAGGATATCATTTTACTGTTTTCCTTGTAATTACGTTAATCAATCACAGTAACCATACATTTACAGTAAAGTTACACATAATGTGATGATAAAACATATTTTAAGGTAATTTACAGTTAACCAATTACCAGTTTTTACTGTAGCATTTTTTTTAATTACGAACATTTTTATAGTGAGTGAATGTCCAGTAGACTCACTGTTGGACATGTGTGGTCTTGTCCTGGACTATGGTTTGAGAAAGCATCCCTTGACATAAATGAGCTCCTTCACATTCCTCAAATGCTTTAGAACCACTATATGACAAGGACAATGTGGTTCCTAGGGAGATATTTAAGAGATAGAAAATCCATAAAGAGAAATCATTTGTAATACAACTGAATGTCATATTTCAACGTTGTTATGGTGGAGATATTATCAGTGCCATCTGTAAAAATCAACACTGCATGCCCTTGCAGATATATCCATTTGTGCTCCTTTCTCTGGAAATATGTGTGAGTGTGTGCGCATTTATGTTTGTGTCACGGTATGAAGATAAAAGAAAGTCCATTCTGTTTGCCCCAGCCAAGGTACTTAAATTACCACCTGCAGGTCAAAAAACATCATCCTCTACAATTTATGGCATCATTGTAACATAACAAAGATGCCTTTGGAGATCAGAGATGTCCTCTGGGCTTCTACTGCCATTTACAAACTGTAGTGTTGGAACTGTGGCAACATGGCATAGCAACGACAGAAGCCTGTGGGCTACAAATAGCCTTTATGTCCAATTTAAAGCATAAAATACAATTAATTTATTGCATGGCAGTGAGAGCGGCAAATACTCTAATCCTGTATATTGAATTCATCATTTTAGACAGACTCTTAAAGCAGTGCTTGAGCTTCCATTTCATTTAGTGTGATGTTTGTTATGGCTGGTAGATTAAATGATCTTTTCTTCCAGGATCATTCTGAATTGCCCATTGGGGCGGCTGCCACCATGGCACATGAGATCGGTCATAACATTGGCATGAGCCACGACCATGAGGGCTGTTGCATGGAGGCCACAGCGGAGCAGGGTGGATGTGTCATGGCGGCAGCTACAGGGTAAAGGCTTCTACATTTGCATTACATTGAAGCTTTTAGCTTCCTTTTATAAATAACCAACAATGCAGAACATAAATCACGGTAATTGCAAAAGCATGCTAATTACGCAAAGAACCCTGGGCACTTTCAAATAATTTTTACTTCTAATTCTGTCATTACTAAACTAATGCTTAGACTGGATGCTACTGTACAAGTACATACTTAGTTGCTAATGATAAGTCCCTAAGGATGAGTCAAGCATGATTAATCTCACTTCAGATTGCACACCTGCAGACCATTCACTGACCATCTGATTTACACTACCATTCAGATGTTTTGGGTCAGTAAGATTGATTTATTTTTCTTGAATGAAATTAATACTTGTATTCAGCATGTTTCAAAATATTTCTATTTCAATTAAATGCTGTTCTTTTGACCTCAAGTAATCCTTAAAAAAATGCATCAAGATATTCACAAAAATATTAAGCAACACAGCTGTTTTTAACATAGATAATAATAATACATGTTTCTTGAGAACCAAATCAGCATATTAAAATGATTTCTGAAGGATAGTGTGACACTGAAGACTGCAGTAATGGCTGCTGATTCAGTACAGAACTGTATATTGCACACAAAACTGCCTAAAGGTGGCTGAAATCACCAGCTGCAATCTGGCTTCTAGAAAATCTGCTAAGAAAAAGTTGTTTGTGTGATGCCTGAGAAAGTAGCAAGTAAACAAGATACCATGAACATCTTGTAAATCAAGTTTGATATGGCGCCATTCCATATCAAATGATATGGCGCCAGTTTTCCAGGTAACTGGGTAAGAACTAATACATAAACCAGACAAGAGCCATAAAGAACTTTTTCTGGATAAAAAACAGCTGCTAGCATGAGATTAAAAGTGGCTGACATAAGCACATCATTTATGGCAAGGATAGTGATTTTTTTAGTAGAGTGAATTGGTTTGAAACTTGATTGAGATGAAGTGGGTTAAGTGACCCCTTGGTTTTGGTGCCCCTGCAGTAGAGGAAAGGTAAGACAGAAAATCAGAGGAGATGACTTGGCATAAAGAGGAGGAAGGTGTTTTTTACTTGTCCAAGGTATAAAAAGGTGAAAAACAGTTTTGGACACTTCACTATTCCTCTTTTCATTTTATATCAAGACCATGTTTTAATTATAATTGTGTTACTGGATTCATTATAAACCGATGTTCAAGTGCATCTGCCTCAGTGTCTACGGCTGACTGTAGATGTTTAACAAATTGGAAGTTTTTGTACTTATTTCTATTAGTGCACCTTTTGTTTTCAGTCATTTTCATGCATAAAAATGACATATATCCCTTTCTAAAATGGTCTACAGGCACCCCTTTCCAAAAGTTTTCAGCCGCTGTAGCAAAAAAGACTTGGACAACTACTTCCAGAAGGGAGGAGGAATGTGCCTGTTCAACATGCCCAACATGAAGGATCTGGTCGGTGGCAAGAGGTGTGGAAACGGCTTTGTAGAGGAAGGGGAGGAGTGTGACTGTGGAGAACCAGAGGTGATTTATGCCTAAATGAATTATTGAATGGAATTACTTATTGATTTAGAGAATACTGAATCAGACCAATCATGAATTAGTCATTTTTCCAAGAACAGTAGTGGCTATGAAATATATATGCAATAAGTCCAAATTTGATAGTTAATATGGATTACCATTGATTACCATTTTTATGCGAGTATTATTTATTCAAGGAATACCTGATATATTTATGCAATGTATTTTTTATAATTTTTTACTGTGAAGAGCTTTTTCTAACCAGCAAAAAGATTTGTTTTTACCACATGGAATGTCCAAATATAAATGTTAGAACATAAATAGTTGAACTACAGCAGAAAAATGGTGCCGTAACAAAGAGTGACAGATGAAAGCGTATGCATTTTATGTTTGCTTGCATGCCTGTATGTGTGTAGAGAGAAAGAAAGGGGAGCGTCCCACCTTGCTGCAAAGCCGTGTTTGACAGGCTGTCAGTGTGCATATAATGGCTGGGTGATTTGCCATCTGGTGCAGGAAGAATGAGGTAGCGTCTGTAACTCCTAGTCAATACATAAACACCTGGACTAATCTTCTGGATTTTACCTGCTGTCAATACCATATTCAATGAAACAACACCTCAGCAATCACCTGACAGAAAAAGCTAGGTTGCAGCAGCACCGAACTGGGAGCTGTTATCATACACTTTTGTTCTAACCTTTTAATCCAAACCATCATCTGCCAGCACTCTCCACTTCCATGAATACACAAAAATTGATTTGACAGTCACAGCTCAAGCCTGTCATGTACGCATGTCTTTTTTCATTATAGTCACTGAATAACACCATTTATTTATTTCTAGTGTGATAATCATAGCTATCAGTTGCACTTGATGCTCTGAAACCATATCAAGCAGAATAGAGGTTGCTGTGTGTTTATGTGAGACAGAGAGAGACTGTGTGTGTGTGTGTGTGTGTGTGTGTGTGTGTGACAGAGCGTATATGTGTGTTGTGACTGTTTCTTCCTCATTAAACACCCTAAAAACACCACACACACACTTCCTCCCCTTCCCCTATTCATTTTCAGCTGTACGGTATAATTATTGGCCGTCAGATGCCTCCACGCTGTATATATCAGTGTCATACATGTCAAACATTTTTATATGCATCTAACGTCCAATTGTGCAATTTCTCCTCTCAATTTATTTTCCACACTTTAATCATAGCATGCAAGCAGACACTGTGTGTGTGTGTGTGTGTGTGTGTGTGTGTGTGTCAGACTGACAAGTGTTTTTACAGGACAAGTGCTCTCAGGCGTCGCTGACACTGCTGTGTGTCTAACAAACAGAGAAGTGATGAGACTTTCAGAGATTCTGAGATTAGATGAGAAGAGAAATTCCTCCGGGATGAAGGTCATTCTTTCTCCGACTGTTTATGGAAGATGCCCAGAGACTGGAATGATCTGCTTGATTTAATTGGATATGGTAAAGCAGAAGCAGGCATCTACCATTCATTTTTTACTATATATATATAAATATATATATATATATATATATTCCCCCGGTCTATATGTCTCTCTGCATCAGCTAGGCTACA